CCCAGCCGAGAGGCGGAGGAGCCACTGCCCACCCACTCTATTCCTGCAAGGAACGGCTCCACTGGATTCTAGAAACATTTCTGACATGCAGCTAACCTGTGTGTACCCAACAGTGCCCTAAGAGGACTCAGTCCCAGAGAGGAGACTCTACCCAACATCCCATCTCTGTAGCTCGCCAGAAAACGCCACCAATAGCACCTCTCCCTCTGACTGGAACTTTGTTCTCTGTGCGGGTGCTCACCTGATACTGGAGCCTCCAGGGACCCTGTGGCCTGGGTGGGAGATGGGGACCTACTGGGTGGGAGATGGGGACCTACCTGATGACCACGATGATGCCATCAAAGATGTTGTAGGGGTTCCGGATGTAGCCCAGCGGGCCACAGGCCAGTAACTTCAGCAGCATCTCTAGGGCGAACATGCTGGTGAACACAATATTGCTGATCTCCAGGGCGTTGGTCAGCTCATCTGGCTGCGGGTAACAGAAGGACCATCAGGGGAGAGGGGTCACTATCCCACAGATGGGGAGCAGGAAAGGCTGCATCGTGGGGCCACAGGCCCAGAGGCTATGGTGGGCATTTCAGGAACCTAATCATCTGCCATCTGGAGGAGGATGCTGGGTCCCAAGGGAGGTTCCCTCCAGCTGGACCCTAGCCTATCTGGCTCTCCCATCCTCACTGTCCCTGGCTCCCCCAGACCCTTCTTGATCTTACCACCAACACATCTGAGCACCAGAGCTGTGGAGGCTCCTTGGGCCCCCAAGCACAGGCCACAGGAACAGGGACCAAAGTATGAGCACCCGAGTTCAGAGTGAGTGTGGTGGTGCTCGGGGCAGACGGCATGTGTGGTGCCTCTGAAAGTTGCCCTGGTCACTGGAAACCTTACACAACCCTCCTTGCTGGCAAAAGGTCCCAGAGGCCCATCCTTACTGGGGCCGTTCTAACCTGCCTGTGTGTGTGTATGCCTGCATGTGTGTGCACATACAACACCTGTGCTCATGTAAATGCCTGCATGTGTCCATGCATGTGTGCATGTGCCAGTGTGATCTGCTTCTGTGCATGTGCCTGCACACATGCTGCACACATGTGTGGGTATCTGCGTGACCATCCACGTGCACACCTATACACATGTCCACACCTACACAGATAAACCTTGCACACCTATACCTGTGGACACATACACATGCATGATCATGTATGTCTACGTGTGTGCACGTGCATATGTCCATGTGTGCATGTGGCAGAGGCCGTTCCTTACCAGTAGTCCCTTGAGGCCCCTGCTGTTCCTGCCCCGGATCTCACCTTCACAAAAAGAACCTCCCTGCCCAGGGTCTGCTTACAGCTGGTACTGCTTGGATCTTCCCTAAATCGCTCCAAGATGACAGAAAATGGCTTAAGTGACTTGAC